GTGTGTGTGTGTGTGTGTGTGTGTGTGTGTGTGTGTGTGTGGTTTTTGTTTTGATTTTGATATCTGGAGCCTGTCTAAATTTTTGGCTTTGAGAGCTGATTTCCATAAAATAGAGATTGCCAACCCACAGCCTGTGCACCAGATCCAGCCTGTAAAGAGGCTAGATGCAACCTGGGAAGGTCTGACCTAGTTTAGGGTGGCACAAGGGATCAGGTGGTACAGAGCTGCACCAAGCTGCCTGTCTCCTCCATATCACTGTCCTTCACAGCCCTCTCCTCTCTCATGCCTGTCCTTACTTTTTGTAGAAAGGCTCAATATCTGTTGTGAGGGTAAGCACAAGCAGCTTGATCTCTGGGGACATAGATTTGTGCCCTGCGGTAGGAGGCCAGGTCTGGCCTGCAGTGGCAAAGGGTTGTCAACCCCTGTCCTAAATAAAATGAAGGCAATTAGTGGCAATGGAAGTGTCTTCTGGGAGACAGCAGCATGAAAAAATAATGAATTTTTTTGTATGTAGTTTTCACTGAGAGGTGACAAAGCAAGGAAAGTTATGCTCAGTATTTAAAGATCCAATTCTGAAACCTCAGTTGAGCAAATGGTAATTTTCTGGCTATTTGGGTGAAACTGATTGTTTCGTATCTGTGCTCATTGACAAGCTTGATTATGCTGAAGATGCCACTGAACGGAGGCGTGCACTGGAGGTGGAAAAAGAAGACACTGAAGAGCTGAGGCAGAAGTACAAGGTACTTAAATGAACACCCTAACATCTTAGGTTTTGTGGGTGGATTGGAGGAGACATTGTTCTGGTAGGACAGAACAATCTGTTCATTTAATTACAGTAGCGATGATACCTATTAGGCTTTGGCTATATGAAGAATTGTGCTTTGTTAATAACCTTTTTCTGTAACGTGGAAGTAATGTTCTAGTGACTCAAATCCTCTGTTCATCACCAAAAAGCCACTGAATGGGCGGTAGCTACAAAAGCTTCCAGCACACTGCTCCCTACCAATATACCTCACCCCTGATCTGGAAGGACCATTTCTAGGGTAAACAAGACCTTCTTACTGTCAGCTCCAGGACTGCTAACTGGGGTCTATACTGCTAGACCTGCCAAACAAAGGGGTAGTACAGAATCTAGTGGTGATATTAATGAAATGCATGTGTTGATGGGAGACTAAATTGGGCCTCCGTGTACTGTCATTAAATTCTGCCCATTTAAGACCTGATAGCTGTACTACGAAAGCAAGATTTTTTTCCCCTGTTTTATAAAAGCAGTTTGCAAAACCTGTTTTTTTTTCACAAGTTAAAGATCTATTGTCTTCTGATTGGAAAAGTAGACCACCTTGTTGTTCCTGAATGTGCCACCAGGGCACATCTCTGAATTCAGCAGTAACCATTGAATTCCCCATTTTGTTGGGCCATGGTGAACATGTCATCTCCAGGGTACTGCGTTGCTTTGTATCCACATTTTTGCACACCAGCCAATTCTTATGAACCTTAGTATGTCTTGGGAGAACCTGCTTATACACCCACTATGAATGTAGGACAAAAATGGAAAAAAAGAGCCTCCCCCCCCCCCAAAACCCCAAAACAACAAAAAACAAAAACAACCTGAAAAACCAGGAGCCTCTAGGATTAAGGCATCAGTTTTACCTAAAATGTGGTGCTTTAGGGAGGGATGGAATGGGAATTTAAACTGCATGACAGTTATATAATACTTACCATTCCATGAGTTAAATAAGTGGTGGAGAAGGCTTTTTGTTTGTTAATCAGCAAGAGCTAAATTCTCTCTGTCCTGTTGCTTTTCCTAATTATAACTTTGTGACTTGCTGTGATATTTGGGCTTTGTAAAATAAATGGTATACTTGGTTTTAAAAAAAAGAGTACACAATTTAAGGGGATTTAACTGTGTCTGTTGACATCTTTAAAAGCATGTCATTCTTAAATGGACAGATGCTGATTTTTTGTAAACAGGGCATTTTCTTATGCCCTATGGTTATGTTTGTTAGAATATATTGAAAGACATCCCATCTTTTCATTTCAGTATAGCATGCTATCTGATGCATTATCGCACACTGCAAAGAGAATTTGGCTTTTAATTATGACATTAGCTGTTCTGAAGTGTGTGATTTTTCTTGGTATTGTATTTTTTTTCTACAACCTGTGATGCCAAAGCTCCACAGGCAGCAACAGCTGTAGGCTACAATTTACTTCTTCATTTCAGATTGGTGGGCAGGAAGCCCTTCTGCTATTTTGTGAATTGTGTAACAATGCTGTCTTGTATCCTGCATTGCAGCTTTTATAGCAGAGTTCTTAGTGAGAGTTTTTACTATTATCTTTTCAAGTACACATTGAATGTGTAATGCTTTTGTAACTGTTACATTTTTTTTTTCCTGCTAGCATTCAAAGTGCATTCTTTAAGGAACTGTATCGAGTACTGGCAGCTTCTTCCAGTACACATTTATTTTTATTAGCAAGCTTTATCACTAGGCTATTGCATTTTTTGTATTAATCTGTGAAAACCTCCTCAAGCATAATCATTTTGTTGCTCTGCAACAGTGGTGTTCAATCTTTTGGCAGCATGGGGCCAGTCCACAGAATCTGGCACTACACCACGTTGTTCTGCTTTCTGCTGCCCTGCACTGTCAATCGATCAGGCAAGGCCACACTGTCCAGCTCATAGGGCTCCTGCGAGTCCAGAAATCTGGCAGCAGGGTAGCAGCTGTTAGCTCCCATTGCTCCCCCACTGCAAAATTCTAAGGCCCGTGGGGAGCCCTGTGGACCAGGGTTTGAGCACTCCAGCTCTAGAGCAAGCTATTTGCCTGGTTTCAGAAGTATTTGATAACACGTGAACCAGAAGCGAAGCAAGAAACGATATTTAACTTTCTTCCCTTGTGTAGACTATGATTCTTCAAATAGCCCTGTTTACACTGGTTAGCCACAGGATACATTTTAACCATTTTTTTTCAGAAAAAGGACTTCCATGTCTATTGTTCTCCAAATCCCCTGTTTTGCTTTCTTTTTTTCTAATATCTTCCTAGAGAGCACTTCATAATAAAACCTTTCAATACATTTTTCATACCAGGGATCTTGGGTATCAAGTATATTTGAAACTAGGACTTGGAATATTTTTTTTTTACTTGCATCTGGAGAGGGGAATTATTTTAATGAGGATTTTTCGTGAATGTTCTAAAAATGTTTTAACTACTTACGCTATAGTGACTTGTCAAGTTTTAGTGCTAACTTTTAACATGGTTTAAAAAAATTCATATACAATGTGATTCAAGACTTTCAATGCTAGGGCTGTGTGTAGCGGCAAGTATTCAATTTGGCTTCAGATTCAGCGGATTCGGAGGGACAGTGATTCAATTTGGCGATTCAGATCACTGTCCCAATTCGATTCAGCCAATTCAGATTCGGAGATTCGGCCGCCAAATTGGGCTGAATCTCCTCTTAATCAAACAGGCAGCAGCGGCAGTGGGGGTGTGGCAGCAGCAATCAGGGCTCCAGGCCCCCATGGCTGCCCTGCCCAGCCCCAGCGTCCTGGTACTTTTTTTTTAAAACACCCTGTACTCACTGGCTGCAGCAGCAGCAATTGGGGCCGCGGGGGGGGGTGTGGCAGAGTCCACCAGCGCAGCATGGGGCAGCAGAGATCACCCCCCTACCCTCTGCCTGGCACCCACGCAGCAGCTGTCATGTTGCCAGGGTGCAGTGTGGGGCGTGGCAGGGCATCACAAGGCTCCATGTGCTGTTTGGGAGCTGGGGCCACTTGGACTGAGTGCTGCCAGTCTCTGGTTGACTGATGGAGCCACCCCAGCTCCAGGACAGTATGCAGTGCCCTGCTGAACCACACTGCACCCACATGATGTGACAGCTGCTGTGTGGGTGCCAGGCCGGGACAGGGGGTGGGAGAATCACTGCACTTTGCAGGGGGGCTCTGCCATAAGCTCCCAGAGGCCCTAGTTGCTGCTGCTGCAGCCAGTGAGTGTGGGGCTTTTTTGGGGTGGGGTGGGGAGGGGTTTGGTTTTTGGCAGCCATGGGGGGGGGCTGGGGGAGCCAGTGGGGGCTGTGGCTGGGCGGGGGTCCCCCCATGGTCCCCTTCTCCAGCAACCCCCTACTTAGCGGCACAGAGTCCGGGTCCAGCTCCGTGCTGCGGCAAGCGGGGACCACCCGAATCAATTCAGAGGCTTCCAATTCAATTCGGACCTTTCAACGTGTCTCCTGGTTCGGATTTGGAGATTTGGCTCCTGAATCGGGCTGAATCTCTTCTGAATCAAATCTGCTGCTGAAGCTTCACACAGCCTTATTTAATACCTTTTGGGCAAAATTGTAAGAAGAATATTTGGAAATAATTTTGTATCCATTTTTTACTGTTTAAAAATCTCATTTTTTTTGGAACTGCTTGCATATCTTAATTTTGATTGTAAAGACTGCTTCTGTAGTGGAGTTGTATCTTGAATTGGAAGCTGCAAGTTTCTTTTTAAACTCTTTAACTTTTTTCTGGTATTGCTTTCAAGGTATTGCAGTGCTTTTTTCATTCTTCGTAGTGCTCTATGGTTTGTTTTACTCCATTTCTGAGTAAACCCAGTAAATAAACATGCCAGGTCTGCTGTTGGCATTGTGCTTTATATTATAATTGTGGGGAAACTTATTTTGTGGGAGAACTTGCATAGTTCTGCCCTTTAGGAGAAACATGTAATCTTTCTGGGTTTTGATATTGATATATTTTGACAAATGAAAAGTTTTGTAGTCCCTTGTCTTAAGTGTCATGGTCTTTTTTTTGGTCTTTTGGTCCTTTTTTGGCCTTTTGGTCCTTTTTATTGGTTCTAGAAACAGATCCACCTCAGGACTGCACTTCACAACAACTGTTAATTGCTCTGGTTAACTATTGAGCGATTTGTTCTAATTGGTGTATACTGAGAAAACTGCCTTGTAGGCTATGTCTAGCAGCCACTGACCAGAGCAGCATGGGTTCCACTCCAGGCTATACAGATTGGCCCACTAGATCAATCGGATAAAGTAGAATCTACCTTGTGAGAGAACAGGATCTGATGCAATGAAACCCAAAGCCTTTTGGCACTACTACTACCCACAAAATAAGCATTCCTTTGCAATTGGAAGAGGGAGGAAAGTGGATAACTTACAATTCAACAACCCTAAAAATAACCACCTCTTGAAGATTAAATTTCTGTTCATTTAATTATAGATTGATGTTTCAGGAGAGAGTATGTACATGCAATCTCTGTATTTTTTTTAAAAACCCTTTTTAACTATATTTGCTAAATATTAATGTATTTTTAGTACAACTATATGATTTGAGCAAAACTTTTATTTGCTTTAACTAAACCTACTCAAGGGACTTCGTTCCTGGTATAATTTCATTGAATTCAGTCAAATTACACCCGTGTTGAGTTGGTTCTAGCATTACTGTTAAACTTTTTCAGATGTGTGCATCCTTATTGAATTGGATATTAGTTAAGAGCGAATAGAAAGGCACCTGATATTACTCAACAGAGGGAATATTCTCACTTACCAATAAAGTATTCTGTTTTGGAACAGTGGTTTTCAACCTGTGGTCCATGGATACCTGGGGTTCCACAAGCTGCGTGTAAGGTTGAAAACCAGTCTTCTAGGAGCTGAGAGAAGGATTTTTCTCTTTGGGTTGTTTTGGTTTTAGTCTTATATGAAATAGCAGGTGTTAGGTTTTCTTTTGTTTTTATGTTTTATATTTTGTTTCTGTTTT